CCCCCCCCTCGCGGAACAGCCCCGTCGATCAGCCTAGTCGCGTGCCGCGAAGGGGAATGGACGGACTGAGGAGTGGTGCGTTGAGAACAAGACTCCGGGACACAACGTGTCTGGTGAGCGCTGTGTGTCGTTCACCTCAGGCTGGAGAAATGGAGTGTCTTCTTACAACGTCGCGGTGGGAAAAGAGGTGGACTCCGGTGGTCCTGAGAGGCCATGGAATAATAAATAGGCTTCAAAAAGTTTCAAGAACTTTGCTTTCGGTGAAGCTTCTTTAATCGAAGCAGCCTATTTTCCCCCTGTGTGCAGCGGTGCGGGGGCGGCGGGCGGGGGGCCCCGGAGCCGGAGGCCGGAGCCGGCCGGCGAGCGCGACCTGCTACACGGCCGCGCGGCCGCGCACTTCCAGTCCGCCCCCACCACGTCGCACCTCCCGCCCCTCTCCCTCTCTCTCTCCTCTCCCCTCTCCCCTCTCGCCGTGCGCCCGGCTCCGGCTCTTCCGCCCGCGGCGCGGAGCGGTGCTAGGGTTGCCGACTGCCCGCCCCGCCGGCCCCGCCCCGCCGCGCCGGTCCAGTGTTTTTGGCGGTGCCGGTCGGTGTGTCGGCCGGGCCGGCTCGCGGGCCCATCGCGTCGTTAATTAGGGTTGCGATGACGTGCCACTCCCACGCCGCCACCCGCTCCCACAAGTCGGTCCGCGCCCTGGACGCCGATCTTTTATCGTCCGGTTTTGGTGGTGTGATGGAGTGCGTGTGTGTGTGTGTGAGGGGCGGGCGGACGCGATTCCTTTGGCTGCCGCGCCGCCACTGGCGGCCCTCGGGCAGGGCGTGGGTGGGGCGGGCGGGTGACGCAGTGTGACGCAGCCTCGACGACCAAGACCAGAGCGATGAATGTGTGTCCCTCCAGCATTCCCCCGGCCTCCCCCATCATGTGAGTCAGTGGTGAAGCCCTGCCCTGGCGCGCCGCCGGCCCGGCCCGGCCCGGCCCTTGAGTCAGCCACCGGACCCTTCTCCCCCTCCCTCCGGGGCGCATGTCCCGCAGCCTGAATCATCATAGGCGTCGCGTCGACCTCCCAGGCGCCCCGTTGTGGGCGTCGCCCCAGCTTGTTTACTGGACGGACCCACCGCGTTAGAGATTACAGGCGAGTCAATTTGTTTCATTGAGCCGGGCCCGACCCGGACCGCGGCGGGCGTCTAATTGAAAAGGGCCGCCCAGCCTCGCCCTCCTGCACGAGGACGTATGGGAAGAGCACGGCAGAGTGCTGGGCAGTAGAGTGCTGGGCAGTAGAGTGCTGGGCAGTAGAGTGCTGGGCAGTAGAGTGCTGGGCAGTGCTGGGCATAGAGTGCTGGGCATAGAGTGCTAGTTCAGAGAGTGCTGTGGGCGGGCGGGCAGCGATGGCCGATGGATAATACACTGCGGTGGCAGGTCGGCAACGATTTATCATCGTTGGGCAGCTCGGGCCCGGCCGCTCCGATCAGTCTGCCCCGGGGGAAAGTCTTGGCGTGCTACCGACGCGTTGCTCGGCCAGCTGGCTGTACATAGTGCGCTATGCTGCTGCTGCTGCTGCTGCTGCTGCTGCCGAGAAACAATTGAGGGCTATCATGTTGCCGTTTGGCGGGCGCGGCCACAGCTCGTTTGGTCTGCCTTTCGCCTCGCACCTCGCTCCGCGGTCTACTTTTTCTCAATTATAAGTATTGTTTGTCCGGGCTGATCGGTATGGAACGTATTTTATATTATTATTTTTTTGTCGCGTCCCATCCCGCTCTGGAGAGTAATTCTTATCTGTCCCGGTGGCGGCGGCGGCCGGTGCGCGAGCTGAGCTGAGGGTCACACTTTCACTTTCCTTTTGGTTGCGTCGGAGACGATGTTTCCCACAGGGCGCCCCGGGCGGTGGCGAGCAGGCAAGCGACAGGGCACTCGAGCACTCCAGGAGCTCTCCAGGAACATGACTCCGGCACCTCTCCAGGACGTTTAGAGAACGCCGGAACAAGTGAACAGACCCTTACGTACCTTTTTATTGTTTTCGTTTCAGGTGAACCTACGTTCGGTGGGGCGCAAGCGTTTCGCGCACCTCTCCGAGAACCTGGACGAGATCCACGTGGACGCCAACATCCCCTGGGGCGAGGACACGCTCTTCACCCTCGAGTTCCGCGCGGACGACGGCGGCAAGTACGCGCTGCACACGTGCAACAACAAGTACCTGTCGCGGGAGGGCAAGCTCGCCGACACGTGCACGCCCAACTGCCTCTTCTCCGCCGAGTACCACGCCGGCATGCTGGCGCTGCGGGACCGCGCCGGCGGCTACCTCTCCCCCATCGGTACGTGCCCCCGCCCCCGCCCTCTCCTGCTCCGACACGTCACTCGACTCTAAGCCCCTGTCTTTGCCCCTCTCGCAGGCTCCAAGGCGGTGCTCAAGTCCCGCTCCAACACGGTGACCAAGGACGAGCTCTTCTCACTGGAGGACTCGCTGCCCCAGGCCAGCTTCGTCGCCGCCCTCAACGGCCGCTACGTCTCCGTCAAGCAAGGTGAGCGCACTAGGAAGAGGGAGCAAGAGAGAGAGAGAGAGAGAGACGGCGTGGCGCGTCCTGCGATGTTTGCTTTTCGCAGTGTAGTGGCGGAGCCGGTGCCGGAGCCGGCCACTGGAACTGAACCCGTACCGGCGCAGCCCTGAGAGTTGGGCCCCCGCCCCGCCTCCCGCGAGCGAGCGAACGCCTGTGTGCGTGCGGTTGTCTGTGTGTGTGTGTGTGTGTGTGTGTGTGTGTGTGTGTGTGTTTTGTTGCGGAACGAATCACGGCCACTAGCCCCCATAGCATGCAACATTCTAGTAAAATGAAACTGCTTTACTCACCCCCGCCCCGCGACGACGCCCCACATAGGGCGCAAGGCGCGCCCATGCCGCGGCGACGGGCGAGGTCTGGGCGCGCTCCGGGACGAGACCAGCTTCCGAACGACTCTAGTGTAGGACTCGAGGGAATAGAAAGTCGTCGCCAACCGCGGCGCGACGCGTTTCGGGCGTGAGACGGACGCGCGGCCCGAGCGCTTCGCTCGCTCGGCCTGCGCAATTAAATGCAAGTGCACCGCGGTGCATCGGGCAGCTGCGCCAGCTGCACCCCCTGCAGGGCCCGGCTGGGAGGGCTGTCCGGCCCGCTGCACCTGCGAGTGAAGGCGGGCAGCTGGAGCTGTACCCCCTGCAGCGCCTGACTCGGAGGGCTGCCCGTGCAAGCCGCGAGTCCGCGCGGGCGGGCTGATGCGCTGGCCGGGTGGTGCCATCCCAACCCGCCATCATCACACAAAGCTCCTCGAAGGGTTTTGTTTTCGATCCCGCGCCGACTTCCTCTGAGCTGCTGCTGTCGCCATCTCATCTGGACCCTGTACCGCTCGTATTGTTTCGTGGGGCCTTCCTGCCATTGTGCCCGAGTAGCAGAATGCCCTGCCTGTCGGCTTATTGTGGCCCCAGAGCCGTCGCTACTTCCTGGCCTCGTGTGCGTCCCCGCCGCGCAGCTCGCCCGCCCGCACCCCCTCGGGGGCTGCTGGCGCCCCGCGGCCCCACGCCACGCCGCGCCACGGCTCGCCGCTTCACGCTGGCTGATGCGGTAAATTAATAAACAGTGCGGATAGCGGGACCATTAGATGGAAGTGACCGGAGCGGGGCGCCTGTGGCGGGCGCGGCGCTCTCCGCCGTGGCGCTGATGGGCGACGTGCTGACCGCTGCGGGCTTCCTCTGCCGGCCTGACCTATGCGCCGCTCACCGCGCGGCTCACCACCGCGGGCCCCGGGGCGGGGCGCGCTGCATGCTCGCCGCGGTGTATAATAGATTGATCGGCTCACCCAGGCGTGACCGCGGCCCGTGACCTTGCTCCGCCCGCTCCGCCCCAGGAAGTGCCCCATCCAGCTCGAGCCGCGTCTCATAAGAAGCAGTGGGCCGGGAGAGGCATTTAGCGGCCTCGCTCCGCCCCGCCGCCCAGGCCGCGGGCCCGGGCCGGTACGATGCGTTCCGTTTGGTTTCGCCTCATTGCCCTCCTTCCTGGGCGTGAGCGGCGGCGCCCAGCCCGGCACCAGGGTGTCGGTGGCGCCTCATGACGCACGGCCCCGAGGAGGAGACGTCGCTCGCCTGCGCCGCGCCGCTGGCCGAGGAGGAGGCACGCCGAGGGACGTGTGCTCCGCGCCGCACTCCGGCGGCGCACCGAGCCGCGAAGATACCCGCCCCTTCCCCACCCTCTCCTCCTCCGGACCGACACGCCTGCGTCACGCCTGGCGCCAGGCCGGCCTGCAGGCTGCGGGGCCCCGTGCCTCCTGCAGGGGCAGGCCAGCAGGTGTCCAACAGGCCTGCGGGCGGTGCGGTGGCGGTGCCCTCCGCGGCCCTCATTGTGCAGGTCTTCCCTCGCGAATCAGTGAGGTGGGGGCGGTGGCGGTGCGATTGAATTGGACGCCGTTTATTTTCGCCAGGAGCTGCTTTGTTCCCCCTTTTTTGCGCCTTTCTTTCCACCAACGAGTTACCCCGCGTTTTCTTCTCTAAAGGGAGTAGCGTGATAATTAATTTGAGGTTTTTTTTTTCTCCCTTGCCCGCGTCCGGTGCAGCGCGCGGCTCGCGTGCCGCGCTCTCCAGAGACACACGGCTGGAGCGGTGATTTGATAATTGTTTGGGGTCGGTGATCGCGCCCCTCGGCCAGGGCTGCCGTCAGGAGGGCTAATGCGGCCCTGCGCCGAGCGTAACGCGGCCGCGATGTAAGCAGGCACGAGAACGGGACGGGTTGCCGGGGCTCGGTGAGGCTCGGCCCGCTCACCTCCTCCCGCCCCGCGCCGCGCCTCTCTCGCTGTAATTGGCCGGCATGCTGGCCGCGCCGCCGCCGCCGCCGCACCAAACCAAGCCGAACCGATCCTTCTGAACCGCGCGGCCCCCTTCTGACGTCGACACACAGGAAGCGGCGCGGTTCTGCTGACCACCGGGCGGCCGGGTCCTCCTCCTCCTGGGCGCGCACCTCCACGCGGGGGGCGGGGCCGGGCGGGGCGCACCAGGGCCGCGCTGCTGACCGGACAGGGGGACGCGGATGGGTATCAATTAACGGCGGAGTGACATTCTAAGCTCCGCGTGCGCCGAGGATCCGACGTCCCCCCCCCCCCCTCCCCCCATTTCCCCTGCCTCTCTCGCTCGCGTTCTGTTCATCGTCCGCCTGGATGGAATTTCTCTCCTTCCCTCCCCCCCCCCCCTCCTCTTCCATCTGCCGTCCTCCTGCTGACGGTGGAAAGCAAAAGAAAATAAGGCCCTTCATGTGCATGAATTTGCATGGCATTACTCACGACACTCGCGTTTCGTTGTTGTTATCTCACGGGGCGCCCTCACTGTCAGTGCGAGTGCAGTAGTTTGGGTGTGAGTCCGGGCCGCGCGCTGCTGGAGCCGCCCTGGAGCTGGAGAGGAGGACGGGCCCGCGCCAAAATCTTCATCTTTGTGCGGCGCGCTGCTGCGCCGTGATGGCAGAGTAGCGGCGGGGCTGGGATTGTCTAAACGTGGGAAAGGCGTAATTAAATTCGGAAACGTGTCTTCGCGGCGGCGTGATGGACGGTGGCGCGGTGAGCTCCCCCTCCCGCTGCAGCGGCGCTCGGAGGACGCGGACGCGCGCAAGTCGTGCTCCAGCCGGAAAGAGCCCGTAGGCTAGGGAAGACCTTTCCGCCTGATGGATTTCAAATCTGGGGTGACGCAATTTTGAAACTCAAACTTTTGCGGTCCGGGCACGGCGTCGTTTCGTCAGGTCGGCGTCGGCAGCCATGTTTGCGCCACTCGCTTCGCGGCGCGGGGCTCCCTTTTCTCTCACTCTCCGTTTTGTTCTGGCGGGTCGCGGACGCGCCGCCCAAAGGGACGCGCGCGTCCTCTTGTTTAGCGCCGGCCGGGGTGTCCGTGAGTGGGCGGGACTTTCTCTCGACGGGGGCGTTGCTGCTGCTGCTGCTGCCGCTGCTGCTGCTGCCGCTGCTGCTGCTGCTGCTGCTGCTGCTGCTGCTGCTGCTGCTGCTGCTGCTGCTGCTGCTGCTGCTGCTGCTGAAGCTGCTGCTGCCGCTGCTGCTGCTGCTGCTGCTGCTGAAGCTGCTGCTGAAGCTGCTCGCCGTTGTTGTGTTCATTGCTGTGCGCTCCTCCTGTCGCAGCGGAGACGAGCGGCAGAACGGGACCTGACGAACTAGACCGGCCAGCATATGGCGAGCGGGCCGGGCCGGCAGGACGGGCAGGACGCGGCGACGCAATGACGGCTGGGCGGGGCGGAAATGCTTAAAATTGCATTATTCGCTTCCTCTCCGGTACACACAGCAGGCGGGCGGGCACACAGGAGAGACGGAAAATATAGAAAAGAATGTTATGCAAATGTTAGCCAGGCCACCTTTGCAACCAGATGTGAGGTCGACGGTTTACCTCGCGGTTTCCGCTGCTGTTTGCTGGTTGTGGTTAGGCTGTACCGCATGGCAGGCGTGCGGGCGGGTTGCCTATCGGCACGGGGCCCGGCCGGCCCTGCTGCTGCCCGCGTTGGCGGGCCCACTCATAGACTGGCATTGATCAGCTGCAATTCATGGATCTAAATGTGCGCCAAAAAGCATCCAATTAATCAAAATTAACTAGGTTTAAAAATATGCGAATAAGTTCGAGAAAAATTAAAGGCGAATTATTTTCCAGTGGTCAATATTCACTACTAGACCATGCAGATTCCTCTCATTTTTCTCGCGTGGCGCGTGTGGCAGGGAGTCTGGCGCGCGCTGCTGTTCCACAATAGGCCGGGCCGAGGGCTGCTGGGCCGGGCCCGAATAGAGGGAAGGACCGCGGTGCGGCGGGACGTGACGCCGTAGCGCCGCGCGCTGGGCTGAGGGCGAGGAGAACACCACACTGACAAATAAAGTGTGCAACTCTCGTCTCGTGCTAGCCTGCACATGCAAGTGCTACACTGCGTTGCGCACTTTTAAGTGTTTGACTGGATATTTTAAAACAAAA